ACCAAAAACCTCTCCAAAAAAAAAAAAAAAAAGAGGGGGGGAGAAGCTGCCGGGGGGGGCGGCCCCACTTTCATCCCCTCTGGAGGGCGATTTCTCGTTTTCTGTCTCTCTGTCTCTCTCTCTCTTTCTGACAAGTGTACGCACCCTATACCAAAAACCTCTCCAAAAAAAAAAAAAAAAGGCAGGGAGAAGCTGACTGTGGGAGCTGCCCTAGCTTAGTTGCAAGTCCCCCCACCCTCACCTGAAATTCTGCCCCATCCTTTTCTATCTTCATCAGGGATCCCTACCTTGCTGTGGAGTCAGGACAGTTGCTGTTTTAAAAGAAAAAGCTGCTATTTGGTTATCAGGATCCCAGACCAGGGAGAACAGTGTAGAACTATGCGCATTCTCCAATTTCCAGCATAGAGCACCTACATGGGTTCTGTTTCATAGGATGAGCTCCATACCACCCACTGTCTATCCTCATGCTCAGTGGGGTACTCCAGCTTCTAGCTGGTAGTAAATTAGGGTAGTGCCCAGAGTACACTGTCTAAATAAGCATTTGTAGAGATACAGTATGACTTGGAAACTCTTCATCTAAGTAGATCGTCATAGGGTCACAATATGACTTGGAAATACTGCAGAAGTGTTATCCCATAATTTGCCGCATGATGTGAAGATTAAATGAATTCCATTTTCTTTTGTCTGTTCATTTGGCATCTTTTGTTTTATTTGCTACAGGGTGTATGAACTCACCTGAGAGACAAGAGAGAGAAAGAGACAATGTGAGAAAGCACCCCCCAGGAAGGATGGTCATATCACAGTCACTTCTCCTCCAGAGATTCTGGGCATGTTCACACCTGGTTTTTCTTTCTTTTTTTTTTTTTTAATTATTTTATTTTAACTTTATTTATTATTATTATTATCATTATTACTTTCCAGTTTGATCAGAGAGAGAGAGAGGAAGTGAGAAAGCAAGCCACCAGGTCTGAGACTTGAACCATGGTCGGCCATGTGGGAGTCCAGTGCCTTTAACCACCATGCCACTTGCCGGCCCCACACCTGGTTTTTCAAACCATTGGGTCCAGGACTTGAACCATGCAGTTGGCCATGTGAGGTCCAGCTGCCTTTACCATATCACTGGTTGGCCTTCTTTCTTTCTTTCTTTCCTTTTTTTTTTTTTTTTAAATTAGTCCTGCTGTATATTAAGCCCAGTGTCCAGCACAGGAAATACAAGAGTAAATCAGGTATGATCCCAACCTTCAGAGATCTTGGTGTCAGGTGGGGGATTAGAAGAAAGGAACCAAACCATCACAGTGTAGTTTTCCAAGTTCTATAAAAGGAGCTAGAACAGCAGCTGGCATGAAATATTTCCCATTGTGTGCTTGCTGAATGAATCAATAGCACTGAGGTAGGGGGTCTTTTTTTTTTTTTTTTTTTTGAGAAATTTTT